AAGAAGCAAGACATTGTAGGTAGTGGGAATGATCTGATCCAAGGTGTAGTTAAGAAAGAGCTTCGTATGTGGGGTGAGGGATGGCAGGAAGACAGAGATAGCTCCCAGGCCTATCTGGACAGAGGAGGTATGCTGGCGATCCTGGGAAAAGAGGCTGAAGATAAAGGGTCAGGCCATATTAGGGAAACTGGACAGACAAAGGAATCCAGGCTTGCTGGGGTGCGAAGTGGGGAACTATTGTAAATTGAGTTAGGGAGTAACATGAAGAAGTATTTTGAGATTTTCCTATTTTGCCAATCGGTTGCTTTGCAATTATTCCTAAATCACTTCACCTGGAACAGTTATTGATCCCTGAGTAAAACAAACCTCTTAAGGGCAGAACAGAGTTGCCCATTCCTGGCACCTCTTGAATAACTGGTATTGAGCATTGCACCCTGTCCCAGGGCTGAATGACAGCGCTTGGCTGCACCTGCCTCCTGCACTTGACCAGACAACCCAGCTGCTACCCTTGCATCAGAACCTGCTCCACTGAATGCTGTTTGAATCTCCACCTGGGCCTGATGAACAATGGCATGGTCCTTGCTCGTCGCAACATTAAATGGACCAAGGCAAGCAGATTCCAGAGGAACACAATGTGAATGAGTCAGCCTGGTTTTGGGAACCACAGGGCTGGGGTCTAGAGTCCACTCCATGTCTCACTCACCAGGGGTGACTCAAGGCCTTCTCACAGGTGTACCGCTCATTCGGATCCTTCTCGAGCAAGTGGCAAATAAAGTCCTTGGCTAAGGGGAGCAATCAAAGACACGACGACTAAGGACCAGATTTCGTGACTGATGGAAATTCACTTCCGGGCTGGTGGGTGGCAGTGAATGCATCTTTAGCTGATCTTCCAAAGAGGCAATTTTAAGAGTCTTAGAAGAGGAAAAAAAAAAAATCCAAACCACCTAACAACAACCCACCATAAACCACCAAAGAAGGGAAGCTACAAGCCGCCTCACCCACACAGCACTGCAGAAGCATCACTGGTCACGAGGCCCCCATGTGCCTGCACACCACATGTGCATGTGTTTGCATGGAAACAGGAAACAGCACTGGCACATGGGCACACATGTGAGTGCTGGATTGTTCCAGCTCCAATTTCCACTTAACAGGTCCAACAATCACGTAATGATCATCTTCTCTCACACACAGACATTGCATGGTCTTTCTTGGTATCTAACCCCTTGGTTTTGCTGCTCTTGCCTGGAACTCTCCCCTCACCACCTGGCTCTGCCCTCCTGGCCCCTCATCTGAACTGCCCCCGCTCCCTCCGCCATCTCCTTATCAGGCATACTGTGGTTCTGCCCCCAGAAAAACAAAAGCATAGCCCTTAGAAGTAAATAATTTATTGGGTCTTTGAAGCAGATGAAGATTTCTCCACTTTCCTTGGCAGCCTGTCCTGTAAGATCCCCAGGACTTTGAAGAGCCAGGACTGTCACCCTTTGTTAAGCTCATTTCTCCTGCCTGGCAGCCTCTACCTTGAGCCTATTATCTCTCCTTCACGCCTGCTGGCCTTACCTGACTCAGAAATGTCATCCCAGAATGGAGACTCAAACTCATAGTAGCCCTCCTTGATCTTCTCGAAAAGCTTAGACTCCGTTTCTTCGTAGAACGGGGGGTATCCACAGAGCCTGCAGCAGGACAGGAAGGAGGTACACTACTGAAAAACCTGTCCTCCCTGAGCCAGCCTCTCTGCTCCCCCAGGCTCCCACTGTATACACAGGTGGGCAATGAAGGTCTCAGAACAGCGGTATGACCAGGACACGGATCTGCCTCAAATTCAAGAATGGTACAGGTCCCATGAAGTGTTTATGCAAGTGCCAAGCCTTGGCACAGGCATCCCTAGAAGGTCTCTGCGTACATTATGCCCTCAAACCCTTGCCACCTCTCCTTGTACTTTCCCTGACTCATGAATGCTATATAAAGTATCTTTAAGAAAGATGGGGTAGACTGTCTACTTGATTGATTGTAAGTTTGATGAAGGATTTATTTAGGCTGTGTTGTTCGCTGCTGGATTCTTTAGAACCTAGCACAGGGATAGATGCAGAGTAGATATGCAGCAAATATTGGTTGAGCAAATAAATGAGAGTACTTATTCAACATAAATGGAGGAGATAATTGAAACCAGGTTACTTTCCTAAGAGCAAAGTTTACTGTAGGTGAGGAGGGATGGTGGGGAAGAGGTGATGGGCAGGTTAGGAAAGAGAGAGCTTGGGAATGTGTGGAGAGGAGCGAAAAGGGGAGGCCCTGACCAGCTTCATCCAGGCAATGGTTTTGCCTTGGGAAAGAAAGCTGAGATGCAGGAACAGTGGGTCCGCCTGACTTCCAAGACTGGCTTGGCCTCTCTCTTTTTCACTGTTCATTCCACAGAGTGGGATCCAACACATTTATAGGCAGTAAATGGGGCAGGGGTGCAAGAGGAGGGAGTGACAGGTGGCTGTGCAGTGGATTCATGCTGAGCTCTGTTTTAAAACTCAGTGGAGGTCAAGAGACAGGAAGCTTTTAAGCTTCGTGTACATGTATATGTGTGTGTGTGTGTTTGTGTGTGTGTGTGTGTGTGCATGCACCCGTGTGCCTGTGTCTGTTTGTGCACATGCACATGCTTGGAAGAGGAGCTGAGACAGGGGAGGGAATGAGAAGGGATAAGCAGGCTCCGAGATTTCTCAGCAACTGAGCCCAGGCCAGCATCTACTCACAATATGTAGGTGATGACGCCGATGGACCAGCAATCCACAGCTTTGCTGTAGGGTTTCTGGGCCAGCACTTCTGGAGCTGCAGCAGACCAAGGGCAGAGTCAGGGCTGGTGACAAGAGGAGAGGGATTTGGGGTGGGGGCTGAAGGTCAGGCTTAGAGAAGCAGACTGGGGAAGACCATGGGATGGTGGTGTTTCTAGGAGACTGAAAACTCCCTAAGGCTGGGGGCTGTGTCTCTTCTGGGAAGACTAAGTCTTCCTGCAAAAAGAGACTGTGACTTCTCCATTAGTTTGTGAGTTTCCCCATGACAGAGTCGATGACTCCCCTGTTGGACTGGAGATCTCCAGGGCTATGTCTCCCCGATCACAGTGAGTATTCTCTGAAGGCAGGGCCTGTTTCCCCACTCAGATAGGGGATTCCCAGGGCAAGGGTGATCTCTCTCCCTTCAGACTTGGAGATCATCAGTGTAGGACTGTCTCTCTTCCACTAGACTAGGAGCCTCTGGGAGGCAGATGTTGAGTCTTCCCCATTAGGTTAGGAGATCCTGCAGCAAAGGCAGTATCTCTCCCATCAGACCGTGGGTACCTTCTGAGGGGAGGCATTTAGTCTCCCCCATCAGATTGGGAGCTTTCAGAGGGCATGAGCCATGACTTCCTCTGATTAGGAAGTCTCTACACTCCTCTGTGGAGTGTAGAGGGTTGCCTTCTATATTTATCGCAGCTACCAGAACTTTGTACCTGGTGGGACTCAATACCTACTGATGAGTGAATGACCTGACTTTCTGGGAGGGTAGATTCCCTCTCTTGAGTCAGAGCTCTGCTTCCCATTACCCAACTGCAAACAGGTGATTACTGACTGGTGAAGGAGGAAGGGACAGGAGCGGATGTTCAGAGTTCCAACTTTCTCTCCTGTAGATCCCAGTAATACTCTCCCAGGTGCCCTGCCTGCTCTCACTCTTTTTGGGTGCCCTGGAAGCCTACAGGAATGTTCAAGCAGGAGGCTCCAGCTCTGCCAATTTCCCAGAGTGCTTCCTTGGGTGAACATTTAGGAGCCCATTTCTGGGTTCCTCAGGCCCAATTTCAATATTCTGTGCTTCCTGGCTCCCAACAACTGGGGGCTAATGTCTCCTCCAGAGTGGGAGAAAGGAGTGGGGCCAGTGCTCAACCCCTCAGCTCTCTGCTGATGTCTGGGTTTGTGATCTTGTCTGCCCCTGGTCCAGCTGGAAAGATAAAGGCTCAAAGTCTATCTGCAGAAATGAGAGCCAAAGCATAGGCAGGAACTGTGGAGGGCTCAGGGGTAGGCGGTCTTTAAAAATGTAGAATTTGAGAGCAGTAAGGACAGATCCTGAGATGGATGAATTGGCTGGCCCTAAACCTTGTAAGTGGATGTCCTACCTGGATAGCCCCTGAAGTTGAACCCTATGTTCTCAGAATTACCCCTTTCTGTGAATGATAGGCATGTGGTTGAATGTAGCCAACTGGTCAACCTTCCTTCTGCTCTCAGACTTACCCACATAGCCTGGGGTCCCACAGGCAGTGGACATGACGCCATTCTGTTCCATCTTGGACAGTCCAAAGTCAGTGATCATGATCTTAGAGTTCTCTTCAGGGGTAAGGTACAAAAGGTTTTCAGGCTGTAGGAAAAAAAATATGTAGTGTAGGATATAACTACCTGAAGCAAGTATTTTCCTTCCCCTTGATACATAATTTCATAGGAAGCTGAGCCCTGGGCTCCTGACTTCAAGGCCAGCCCATCCTCCTCCATTCTTCCCTCCTTCCTCCTACCTGCACCCTCACCCCTGCAACCCAGCACTCTGCCTCTTGCTTATGGCTCTGACTTTGCTCAGTCTTATAACCATTAATATACTCACCCTTTCCTTCCCTCACTTCCAACTACCCCAGGACTGTTTGTGTTTTGAGGGAACCTATCTTTGGTTAATGGTGTCTGATCTCTCCAAAGTCCAGTGCAATGCCTAGTACAATGTAGGCCCTCAGTAAGTATTTTGTTGCATTGGGTTTTGACTGTGGCTGGATTTAAGAAATGTGTGTATTATTTTGGTATCCAAATAGGGTAAGGCATAGTGAAAGGTTCAAGAAAAGATTGAGGTGCAAATTAGTAACCATTGTTCACTCATCCAAGGTCTGTTTAAGGAATCTAAGGGCAGAAGGGGCCTTGGGAGTCACTAGTCCAACCCTCTTACTTTATGGAGCTTAGATGTCCCATGACCCATGCAGCTTCCTTAAGAGTCATTATCTGTTTCCCACCCAGGACTCCCGGCTTGACACCTTTAAGTCTCTGTGGACGATGCCATTCTCATGGAGGTATTTCACTGCCGACAAGACCTGCTGGATCACCAGGCTGGCATCCTTCTCTGTGTAGACACCCCGCTCCAGGATCCGGTCAAAGAGCTCCCCACCAGAAACACTGTGGGCATAGGATCAAGACAGTAATTCTGTTCTCATTTCAGGTCAAAGTAATGTGAAGGTGTTTGCTTTGAAGCCATGGGGGACCCAGCTGTGGTGGAACAGGCAGGCACCCATGAACTGCGATTGAAGGGCTGCTGGCAGGACTACTCCAGTCTCAGAACACCCACTCTGGGCACTTAGAGTGATATCACTAGGCAGTCATTTCTTTGGGCCAAGCACTGACCTCTCTCTCTGACAATTTCCTTTAAAATGTAAATGCTTCCGGTTGGGGTTGCACAAGAAGCCAATAATTCCTTAGTGTGGACACACTTCTTAGCCACTTTCCTTCCTGGCCTATGACACAGGAAGCCATGATGAAAGAGAGGGCTGACACAGAAATTAAGCAAAGTAGGAAAGGGAAGGCATGAAAGTGAAACTAACTGTGCTTATATTAAGATTTCTTTCCTCATTTTGGGAAATTGGACTTCGTAAAGCTGGAATTACAGGTAGGGCTGTACAGGTGCTTTGAGACTCAAATGGTAGAGTATCTTAGGACTCAGAGAAGCTTAAAGATCAAGTCTGGCTTCTATCTCGTGAATACCGTCTACACTATTTTTGCCTAGAAGTTTTCTAGTGAGTACTAGAACAGTTAAGTGTCAGAGAACATTCTACCTCCTAAGACAGAGTGTTTTTTGGCATCTTCCTAATGTTTCTGTACATTATGTTGAAAGCTGATGCCCTGTCATACCAGTGCTACCAATTTCACCCATTGAGACTGCACAGAACAAGAATAACAGCCTTTCCTGTGCACCTTTCAAGTATTCAAAGATAGTGAAATGCTCTCTGGAGGCCTTGTCTTCTCTGAGATAAGCATTCCCAGACTATTTCAACCATGAGCCAGGGGTTCTAGTCCTTTCACCCTCCTAGTCCCCCTTACCACTGTCCCATGACATTAGATGTGGTCATTCATGCCCAACTAGTGATGAAGGAACAGAATTTCTCCAATCAAAATTCACCTTATCCTGCTCTTTGGTTTCCGGTCTTTAGACTTTGGGCTTTCCTATAGTAGCTGAAGGCCTGTAGGAAATGCGCTGTTTGTACAGAGGTATGAATTCCTAACCCTGAGGGGCCTGAGTCCTGGAGCTATGCTCTGAGGAGGCTTGGTGTCTCCTCAGGGGCGTCCAACCCTGCCCATCTCCTTGCCTCCCTGCCTTCTGAATTACTGTGTGCTAATCCTGTTGGCTTGGCCTCATTGAAGTACCTGATGGTCCCTGATCACCTGTTAGTGCCACTAGGGGCCCTTCCCATCTCACTCCCTTGACTGCCTGCTACCTCTCTTTAGAGGCCCTCAGATGACCCCCAAGTTAATCAGCTGCTTAGGCCTGAGTTAGCTCATTAAAGTTTCTTAGGAATCAGCCCATCAGCCAAAAATCATGTTGTGTCCAGCCACGCTGAGATTGCAGAGTGGTGTGTGAGTGCGTGTGTGTATGCATGTGCAAGTGTGTGTATTTGTGTGTGTGTGTACTTTATAAACAGAAGTGTCTTTGAGCCCAATGCTGAGTCCTCATGAACACCGACCAACCTCTACAGCAGTCGCTGTCAGGCAGAACTGTTGTTTGGATGTGGCAATGACACAGAGACCTTGCTAATGAAGCACCACTTCTGTCCTACAGGTGGACACGCACAGTCACAGCCCATCTTTAACTTTGGGTGGCTCTCTTTTGAGAAAATCTTTCTTTATATTGAAATATATCTACCTGTGGCTTCTGCTCCTACAGTAATTTTATGCTGGAGTGATGTTAAAACATTTACTATCCAATTTGATTAACATGTATTGGTCCAAATGGATTGAAGCCATGGTGCCAGGAAAGGATTCTGGCAACCCCTTGTTAGTCTGGCATTACCCCTTCAGTTGTTTGGTTGCAAGGGGCGAGGAGGGGTTGGGCAGCAGAAGGACATGGATGGGTTGGGGTCCCAGCTATTTGCTGACTAGTAAAAAATGTTCTAACAACCGATAGGGTTGTCCTGGTGCAGAGGAGCTCAATAATCAACCCAGGTTTACCCTGTGGCCCACATAGAACCTGCCCATGACCAAAGGCACACTCAGTCTAAAAGGACCCTTGGCATTTCTGAGCCTCCTGAATGAAGTCTTCATTTTTGTCTTTGAATCGCTGTCCATCCCTCACCAGCGACCAACCTCCTCTAGGCCTCCCCTGCCCCACCAGGCCTCTGTGGAGGAAGCAAGTCGTCTATCACTTACAGCTGCATGACCAGGTAGTAGTGGGTGGTGCTCTCGTAGATGTCCTCCAGGGTCACAATGTTTTCATGCTTGATCCTGGGAAAAATAAAGTGCATGATGAACGGTATGTGGTTCAGGTTGTCCAGACAAAGAATGCAGACCTAGCCCAAAAGCTTCTGTTGGAGGCTTTTGATGGCAATGTTTTGGAAGACTAGGTCTTTGTGAAGTCTTCATAATAAGTTGACTGTCACAAATTAATCCCAGAGAAAAGATTCCTATGGTGGTGCTCGGTCTGTGTTTACTGAATGAACAATTGATCATCCTTCCTTCAGGGAACAAACACTTTCTTGTTATGCCAGGAATCTCTTTAAACTTTACTAAAAGAGACAGTTAGAAGAATGGAGGAAGGCTAAGGGAATACCTGACACTAGGTTATTCTACAAAGTGGGTATTCAGATGTTAGAAATATTGCATTTAAAAAGTACAGGTTGAGTATCCCATATCTAAAATGTTTGAGACTAGAAGAGTTTTTGGAATATTTGCATGTACATAATGATATACCTTGGAGATAGGACCCAAGTCTAAACATGAAGTTCGTTTTTGTCTCATGTGTACCTTATACACATAGCTGGTAGGTAATTTTGCACAATATTTAAAAAATAATTTTGTGCATGAAACAAAACTGAATGCATTTTGACTATGACCTGTCACATGAGGTCAGGTGTGGAATTTTCTATTTGTGGCATCGTGTCAATGCTAAAAATGTTTCTGACTTTGGAGAATTTTGGATTTTAGAGTAGGAATGCTCAACCTGTATACAATGGGAAGGATTCAGGTGAACTGAGCCTCCTCTTGGATAACCACAGAGGAAGTATTGAAAAATTAGTGTTCCAGGATATCGTGAGAAGCAAGGTAGGTGCTTATTTTTAGGGTTAGTTCTGTGGGATGACTTAGATAGGTGATTCTCAACCAAGGACTCTTTTGCCTCTCAGGGAACATTTGGCAATATCTTGAGACATGTTTGATTGTCACGACTAGGGCAGGGGGAGGTGCTGCTGGCATCTAGTGGGTAGAGGCAGAAATGCTGCTAAACATCCAACAATGCACAGGACAGCCCCCAACACCACAAATAATTATCTGGTTCAAAATGTCGACAGCATCATGGTGGAGAAGTCCAGCCCTCTATTACCCTTGTTCGGGGTTACTCAAAGACTGAATCATGCAGAATAATCATATTAGCAGAGGCGCTTGGCTTGCCAGGCAGCAATGCTGTGCATGCCTGTAAAGGAGAAAATTCTCTAGGAATTTTACTCCTGGCTGTGCAGCGCAGGGGTTAAGGACTTAAACTCAGACTCAGACTCAGTCAGGCCTGGGTTCACATCTAGTTCAGGCAATTAGGTAACTTCAGCTGGCTTATTCCAGTTTTCAAACCCTTAATTTCCTTGTCTGAAAAGTATGTGTCTCTTATAGAATTGTATCAGGATAAAAGGAGATAATGCATAATGCTTAATACAGTGCCTGGGGAAGAGTAAACACATACTCAATAGTAGCTATCTTCTTTATGATATTTTAGAAAATATAGACCTGTGGCAGTTGTCCCTTGATGAATTCAACTATACTCATAAGCTGGCAATGCTAACATTAGTTTATCAATTATTCACTCACTGAACAAACATTTATTGAGCATAAATACTGTTGATACAAGGCAATAATAAGAAACATGACATGGTCCTTGCTCTCAATTAGTTGGCAATCTTTCTTTGCCCTAATCTCCCTGGATCCCAGACCTATGTCTCTAGCATGTTACAAAATGCCTTCATGTTGAGATAGGTGGATACTTACATTCAGTATATTCCAACCAATTTCTTTCTATTTCATCCAAGCGTACACATCCTCTTTGTTCTCTATCCCAAGCAATGACATAGTTGTCCACTTAATTGCTCAATCTCAGGGTCTCTTTTAATGCTGTTGTCCTGTACACTTTTAGCAGTCAACCCCAAACCCAGTCACATCTCTCTTTGAAACATCTTTTGTAATCTAGTCCTTTTAGGCACACATGATTCTGCCACCACCTTCTCTTGTATTCTCAACCCATGCCTAAATTATTGTGAAAGTCTTATAATTGGCCTCCTGTCCTCTAAGCTGGCACCCTCCAATCCATCCTCCACCGTGCTTGAGAGGGATAGCTCCAACATGTTAATCAAACAATGTGACTCCTCACTTAAAATCCTTTGATGACTTCTTTTTGCCCACAGAATAAAGCCAACATTCCTTATCATGCCATCTAAGATCCTTTGTAATCAAGTCTTATTTCACGATTTTAGTTTCATCACTTGCCTCTTAATACTATGCACTCTAAATTCAAGGATTTCAAATACTCACTCTTCCCTAAAATCCCTTGCACTTACATGGTTCTACATTAAAGTTTATGCTACTCTTGGCCTGAATTCCCTTTCTGCACTGCCCTTCTTGCCCCCACAAAGTTTGACTCATCCATCAAGGTCCATCTTCTTTGAAAGTGGTCCAATAACTCATACTCATAAAAACATACACATAGGCAAAATGAATCTTTATCTCCTCCAAAGTCTGCCTTCTGCTAGTGTGACTTACATCTGATTTTGTTGGATTTTCTTATGGGCACCTCTGTATCCAATGTAGGCTCCTGAGGGTACAGAATTTTGTCTGCCTCATCCTTGTAGTCCTGATCCTGTGTTCATGTGCCTAATACACTTTTGGTACACCATAAGGGTTTCGCAAGGGCCTGTTTTAAGAGTCTTGCTGTAAACATTTGATGATTTGTAGTGTCGTCTTCATTATGATGGTTGGGGTGCTGAACTTCTGTTTGCTTTGGTATAAATTGAAGCTAATTTTCAAATCTTATGCTGCTTCCTTAATTATTAATTCTTCCTGATGCTGGCCCTCAATTGATTTTTGTTCCTTTGAGCTAATTACTCTCCAGCCTATGTGCACAAACCAGTTCTGCCACCAGTGGGTTTGCGCATCAATTTGCTGCCAAAAAAAAAAAAAAAAAAAAAATTCAGCTAGGACAGCTGTCCAACTAAACTTAGCTAATTGAACTGACCCATCAACTCAATCAAAGGGAGCAATGCTTTTGGGTGCAGAAATCCAGTCCTAGTCCTTCTTGAAGGAAATTTATGAAGAAAATGTTATGATCCCATAGTGACATCCAATCAACTCTAAGACCCACTCACTTTTTCAACACAGCAATCTCATTCTCCAGACTGCTGTCACGGAAAGCAGGTGACTTCTTGATGCACTTCAGGGCAAAGAGCTTCCCAGTCAGTCTTTGCTTCACCAGGAACACTTCTGAGAAAGCTCCTCTGAGGAAAAGATACCAAAAGATAAAACTTAGTAGGGGGCAGACATCTTACACTTCCAGATGTGAGACCTGAGAAAGGATGCAACAGAGTCTATATAGTCCTCTGACCACAAAGGCATATCCTGAATTTAAATCTGGAAGAAACATCAGGAAAATACAAAATTTAAAAAAGGGCAGAGGGGAACCTGTATTCTTCCAAAATGCCAATGTCATAAAAAGCTAGAGAGAGATAACACCGAAGTGCAATACCAGACCCTAGACTGCAGCCTGTACTGGAGGGAAAATGCTATAAGACACATAATAGGGTCAATCGATAAAACCGGAGTATGGATGACAGACTAGGTACACTTAATGCATCAATATTCAATTGACTGAAGTTGAGAACTGTACTATGGTCACGTAAGGGAATACTCCATCCCTAGAAATATACACAAATGTCCTTGATGGGTAAAGGGTGATGGTGTCCACAACTAACTCTTCGGAGATTAGGAAAGAATCATCTTTCTACATCTATCTCTACAAATCTACAGAGAACATTGCAATGAGAAGGCAGATGGGGGAAATTGTGAACAAGAGGTGAATCTGGGTAGTGGGCATTTGGAAATTCTTTCTACCATTCTTATTCTTATTTTATTTTATTATTTTTTTAGAGACAGGGCTTCACTATGTTGCTGATCTGGTTAGACTTTGTGTCCCCACTCAAATCTCATCTTGAATTGTACTCCCTATAATCCTCATAATCCCCACGTGTCAAGGGAGAGACCAGGTAGAGGTGATTGGTGCATGGGGGCAGTTTCCCTTATGATATTCTCATGATAGTGAGTGAATTCTCATGGGATCTCATGGTTTTATAAGGGGCTCTTCCCCCTTTGCTTGGCACTTCTCCTTCCTGCTGCTTTGTGAAGAAGGAGCCTTACTTCCCCTTCACCTTCTGCCATGATTGTCAGTTTCCTGAGGCCACCTCAGCCATGCTGAACTGTGAGTCAATTAAGTCTCTTTCCTTTATAAATTACCCAGTCTCAAGCTCTTCTTTATAGCAGTATAAAAATAGACTAATACAGTTGCCCAAACTGGTCTTGAACTCCTGGGTTCAGGCAATTCTCCTGCTTTGGCATTCCAAAGTGTTGAGATTACAGGTATGAGCCACCACGCCTGGTGTTATTCTTATTTTTTAAATGTTTTTCTAAGTTTGAAATTATTTCCAACTAAAAAGTTAAACAATTAAACTTAGAGGCAAAGTGAAAGAGTAGATGAGGGAAAGGCTGATAATTACTCTTCACTGTCATTTGGGTGCTGCTGAGTTACGTTGATGGCAGGTGTATCTGACATGCTAATGTGCTTTCTAATTTAAAGATCACATTGGAAGAAAAAAATCCCACCACAGATTCAGGGACTAGGCATGTGTT